GACAAGTTAAGGCAGTGGGACCCAAGGCCACGATCAGAGCATGTTTATAGTATGCAGTAAATAATTGCTCCACATGCGTGTCAATTATATAAGATTTAGAACAAAGAAAATAGAAGTACGCATGTGCTAGAGATATTCTGTAAGCCTAATGAACAAAGAAACTCAGATTGTGCATGTGCCGGCAGAAAACAGATAAAAGCAGGACAGGTGCATCATAGGCGCACCTCCCTGTGGCAATAAGTGTTGTTAACCCCATGGTGTCTCCAGCTCAAGTCTGCCCAGCGGTATGGCAACTCCTCGTGCATTTTTTCGTTTGGGCCGCTCACCTCCTAGAACCCCACGTCAGCCTCCCTTGGCTGACAAGTGCATATTGATTTTAATGTAACCTTAATGAAAATGCACAGCATTTTCAGGTGTCTGCAATTCTCTGCCTGCCAAAGTAAATGACTAGAATATACCACCCTCAAACCTGGTGCATCCTGGTGTATATCACTAACACGGGAAAGTTCATGAAGCTTATTTAATCTCCTCTTCTAGAGCAGCAATTCAGTCAAAAGAGCTCTTAGTTTATTAGCACCATACATAAACCTGAATGCAGAGTTTTAAATAAAGAATGCATTATTCATGTAATCAAAACATTGCCTAAGTCAGTGTGTATCAAAGTGCTGTTTCTTGGGTCTCACCCCAATTTACTGAAGCAGAAACTCTGGGGGTGGGACCCAGAGTCTATGTTTTAACAAGCCCCCCCAGGCAATTCTGCTGTGCCCTGCTATTTGAACTCACTGGTCTAAGTAAACTATCTTTGAATTAAACCTTGTCATAAAAGAACTCCTTCTGATCAAATTGTTCTAACAGGGGAATTTCTTTTACTTCTCAAAGTAAAAAATAAAATTTCTACTTCATGTTAAGATTTTCACTCTGGAAATCTAGAAAATTTCTACACATAGATAAAAATGACAGATTTGGCTCCCAGTTTGCAAAAAGCAACATTCTTAATATAGAAATGATTCAATGTCTTGGCTCTAATGAAGCCAATTACATTTAGAGCAGCAAACAAGACATAGTCCAGTAGTGTCAACTGAGATTTTATGACATTATATACAAATGTTCTAAGCTATGATTTTGGTGTTATGTGGTGCTACTTTCATCTCCAGAGCCACAGAATCAAATGTGTTAACAAGTGTTACAGATGCCCACCTCACCACAATATACTCCGATTTCCTTTCACTTGAAGATGTGCTTTCCATAGAAAATTTTGGCACATTCAAATCTTTGACAGTTATTAAACTAATAAAGTGGTGTGAGAACACAGGTACTTGTGTAAGTCCAGAAGCTGGCCACAAACTGTGATACGGGAATTCTTACCCAGTTGCACGTTGAAAGAAATTTAGTGTCTATTTCTCTATGGCTAGTTTCAAAATACCAGAAGAAATGTCATTTTGCAGGTGCTGGTGGTCAGCTGTCATGTATCAAAGGGCATCTCATCTATTGTATTTCTTTCTGTCAAGCCACAATTTAACTCAACCACTTTCAGAACAAATACCTTCATCCAATTGTGCCAAATCACGTGTAGCTCTTTTCAGTCTGACTGCCTGATAAACAAATTATAAGATGCTTGAAGGCAAGGATTGGGGCAAATCCAAGATTTAATTAGTGTCCAACCTTGTTCAAACTGAGCTTATTTTTCACACTTGTTTTCAGGATGGACTGTTATAAAGTACTCTTATAGTTCTGCTGGCTCCATGCTTACACTGCTAAATCTCTGGCCAAAAAGTATTACTGCAGCTTTTTTTTTTTTAACAGCTTTATATTTTGCACAGTAACTAAATCTAAAAGATGAGCTCTCCCCTTCCTTCCGTCTTTCCTCTCTTTTAACTAAGTCCAGTGTGAAAATATAGAGATGTTCATAATTCAAATGCCACCATAATCCAAATGGCAGCCTATATTTTTATTTAATCCAATGGGAAAGTATTCTGGATGTCACGAGATGGTAATAGTAATACTATTCTTGATCATGTACCACAGCATTTCATGATAATTTCATTTGTTTGGAGAGAAACAATGTATTAAAGATAGATGCATAAAGCTATACACCAGATTGTGAGCAGTTCTTATCCCTGGAGAACTAGATTCAGGGAAAAAGAACAGATCAGGCAGAGGAGAGTATCATATGTTCACAGCTTCCATATTTTCTTAAAATTTTTTATTTAGAGAGCATGCATTTTTTATAATAAAAAATACCTACAAAGATTTAAAAGATCTCTGCTGAAAATAAGTCTGAAAATAGAAAAAATAGAGTCTAAGAATTTTCAAATAATAAAAAGGAATCCGTTAGGGGAAATTATACATGTAAAGTCTATGCATCCTCATGCTCACCACTGCACATTGCAGAACACTGATCAAAATTCCATGCCTGTACACCCTCTTAGAATGGCCTTAATCACCTCTACAGGTTTTGCTTTGAGCTGAACTTCAATATTGCTACCTCCCCACATGACATCTTCTCCTCAAAGGATATCACCATGACATCTCAAAGTTAAAGTGTTTATAATAGTACTTGTTCAATTCTCCTCAAAGTGGTTCTGTCCTTGTTGACTATTTTGTTTGACAGCAACGCTACTGACCAAATATTTTTATTGTAAAAATTTATCTCTAAAATTTACCCATACGTTTTTCTTAATACCAGTAACTGACTTTGTTTTCCTGTCTGAATTTCTGAAATAATTTTGCTGCTGTACACCTAAAATTCCATCCTTTATTCTTTCAATCTAGTCTATATGCAGACTTCAGAATTGTTTTTATAACAGGACACATTTTATCACTGCATTCCTTTATTAAAACCTTTAACGACGTCCCGCTAACAAGACACAATCCAAACTTAACCTGGACACCCACGCACACCTTTCACTAAAAATCTCCTGTCCTGCCCTTTCTTCTCTCATACTTGTATAGGAGTTGTATCTGTGCTCAATGTGTGTTTGGGATTAAATTCTTGGCTCATCCCGTAAATGCATACAAGTTTTGTGAGCTTACGTAATTGCATACTACAGTGAAGTCAATCTCCCTTCAACCAGACTACATCATCCACATAAGAGTAGTTTTTCAAAAGATAGGCAGCAGTTCGTATGGAGTAAACTGTGTCCTCTATTCCAAGCAGCTTAGTTTGAATCGCACAGGACTACAATTTCAGGAGAATTACTTCACCTTTTTCTCAATTGTAAAGAAGAGGTAATAACAGTATCCACCACAGTAGGGTGGGGATTCAATGCGATATTGCAATGTAAAGCAGCTGAAAATGTCCATATTTTCAACTGAGTAAGTGGAATCTATTATATAAATTGCCTTTTTATATCATCATCTTAATGTTTCAGACACTAGATTCTATTTCTATTAATTGATTCATTAAATGTATTTATTGCATACTCTGTTCCATGCATTATACTAGCCCCTGGAAACCTAGAGTGACACATTAACACTCAAGACTCTCACTTTCTTAAAACTGACATTAAGCATCTATAATGTGTCATCACTGACAATCATCAGCAGTTATAATCATCTTTTCTAATCTTCAAATAACCCTGAAAGTAAATTTCATACATTTTTAACAAAAGGGGGTATTGAAGCTCTAGTAATATGAATTAACTTAAGGTCACACAGGCAATGAACGGTTGAGTTGAAAGACAATCCTAATTTGTTGTCTATGTACCACCCCATCTTAAGCTCATATTCGTGACCACTTACTATCTTTAGTAAATCATGAACTATGAGAAAGGTTTAGATACATTATCTCAAATCATCACAACTGTAGGATTAGCATATTCTCTTTTAAACTTAATATAAAGAAATTAAGACAAAACGGTGGTGGAGGTACCCCAAGAACTATGCATGAGTTAGAAGCAATGAACTGTGTACACGCTGAAAGAAATGGGTCTTCTAAAAAATGCTGCCAAGATTAAAAAAAAAGAGAGAGAAAAAGAAAGAAAGAAAAAGAAAGATGAAAAAAAAAGTAATTTAAGATATAGAATCAAATTCCATTCACACATGTAGGTAAGTAAAAAAAAGAAAAACAAACACACATAAAATAAGAACCATTTCGTAAGGACAGACACAAACAAAAAGGATACACATTTAGCACTGAAAATAGGTTTCTTAAAAGGCGGAGGTTTAGAGTGGGAAATGCAAACAAAGGGAATAAAACATGAACATAAGAAGGGTCTTGCAGGAACCAATGACGTTGGCAGGGGATTGAGAGAGAGATTAGAAATTTACCTAAGAGACAAAACACAGGCAGTAGCAAATGTTCATTCAAATCTATTCCATGATCTCCCCCAAATTCAAATTTTCCATTATGAATATTTAATTCTCTGGGAAATTTTAGGGTGAAAAATAACGTGGTTTTGCACTTTGATGATGAGACAAATAGGGACGTGTTAAGTAATCCTAGAAAATATTGATGCTTCCCATGTCTCATCCTCAGAATATATTGCACATTTCTAGATAATTATTAACTTTGAGGAAGTTATAGACAATACCAATTTAATACAGATTTGTTATTTAAATTTTATTAATGGAAATATAAATAATTTTCATTTTCAAAAATTACCTCCAAATTTCTATTTTTGATGGCAAAATGCTATGAATATTATAGTCTTTTATACCTTAGCTCGGTGTTTTTAAAATTTTTCATTTAGCAGAGCTATTTTTAATAAATTATGTTTTAACCCTCAATAAGGGATATAAATGGAAATGAAGCCACATCTAGGTTCCTTTTCTTTGGCCTATAGGAAGCCACAAGAATATATATTTCATAGGAAGAAAAAGAATACAGGGTTATTAAACGACTCACTCTGAAAACAATTTTCCTAAACAAAATGCAGTATTTGTCAGTCTAGGAAAGAAATCCAAAAATACCCTTCCACAGCTAGCCTCAGATTACAATCAGACCTGAAAAGGATTTGTTGAGTGAATAAATGATTGAGCACATATAATAAAATGTTGCAAAGAATATACCATTTCTTTCCTAAATTTTGGAACATGGAAGTACTTTGAACAAATTGCATGAAACACAAAAAAAAGACAAAAAATAAGCTGAAAGGATGATTGAATACATAACCCTCTTTCTAATCAACTGAATATAATCTTATCCATTTTGAATGCATTTTTTTGGTATTTATCTCACTGCCTAAAGTTAAGGCAGTAATATAATTATCTTAATTATTTCTCTTTTATAATACAGTTGGCCCTCCATATGTACAGTTCCCACATCCATGGAGTCAAGCAATTGTGGATCAAAAATATTTGGAAAAAATATCCAGGTTGTCTGTCTCAAAGAGCAAAACTTGAATTTTCTGTATATGGAAGGATGTGTGTAGGTTATATGCAAATACAATGCCGTTTATATAAAGGATGTGGGTATCCTTGGATTTTGGTATCCAAGGAAGATTATGGAACTAATCCCCCATGGATACCAAAGACAACAGTATTATCTATATATATCTATCAATTATCTATGTATTTCCACATCTATATAACTCTATATAACTGTCTCATTTCAAATCAGTTTTGGAACAATATCAGTTAAAAATAAATAATATGTAAACAATAATAATAATGATCAACCTCTATTTACTGTTTATCATAATTTAGGATCTATTTAGATATACTATTTCACTTAACTCTTATAAAATTCTTTGAGAAAAAAATTCTATGACTCTTCTTTTATAGACAAGCGACTGCACACTAATGAGATTAAATAACTTGCTCACATTTACCAGTTAAGGGAATACAGGTGTTAGAAGAACCACAATGGATTTTTAGTAAATGTTAATAGTAAATTTTAAGGCATGAGTCAGAAAACCAAACTGAATCCAGGATGTATGAAACTTCAGAAAGATGAGGAAAATGTTTGCAAACAATTCAAAATAACCCATTGTATTTATGAGAAGGCTGTACATGAGTCACCAGGTTCTGTAACTTGGGACTACTAGAGCCTACCTGATGAAGAGCACAGAGACAAACCTGCAGTCTAGCAAAACAGCTTACTGATCTGTGGCATCGAGATAGACTGTATACCAGAGGTCCTTGTGATGCCCTTGTAAGGGGGCAGAGGTAGGAAGGGCTCCTGGTAAGTTTGGGGCTTGCCATGATAGCTTCTAAGGAGGAGCTAGGGTAGGAAGGATCACCTCTGGATTGGCTGCAATTTCTAAGGTGGAAGTAAGTAGTTTTCAGCTCATGATTGCTGTCACCAGGAGATAGAGGCTAACTACTGAGGATCACGTTAACCTTGATTCATAAAGTAAGACTAGCAAAGCAGGGCTATAGTAGCCTCTGAAAGAAGAGAAGTCATTTTGATATTATGCAGCTGCAATGAGAGAACTATTATTTCCTTTTAACTTTACAGCTGGCTTTATCAATGTCTGTTATCACAGTCTGATTAATTGCAGGGCTGATTTTTACTGTTTCTGTATTGAGTAGATTTTTTACTCTTTTAGTTTCAGGCTGTTTTTTACTTCTTCAGAACTCATCATTTATTCATTATTTAACAGTTAGAGTTGGAGCTAGAGAGTCTGGAAATGACTCTCAACTGTGATACTTCTAGACTAGGTGAGTATGGGAAATTCACAGAACTTCTTACTATTTCAGTTTTCTCTGATATAAACTGGGGTAAAATAATTACACCATCCTCACATTTGAAACATAAATTCAGTACAGTGTCTGCAATTTAGTAAATGCTGTATAAGCATTGTTATTAATGTTGTTATTATTTTAACCATAGTCAACTTTAGGTATAGTATTTCTTAATGCTCACAAAATATTTCTGATGTAAACAGGTTTTGCATTATACATGGAAACACAGTGCAATTTATTGTATATATAATGACCACAAAGCAAATGTAAAAGGCAAAGACACAGATGTCAAAATGCATAGATCTTTAGCCTTCAATTTGCCTTTCTTTTTTCTCTTCCAAAGCAGAGTCTCACTGCCAGAACATGTTATATATTAACAGTGTGGATGGAAAATCTAACTAAAACTGTGTGCCCTTGGCCTAGTAAGAATTTAATCGGTCTAGAACTCTTTTCCTAGGTATAAAACTATGATTAAAGTACCCAGCCCATGGCTACATATGAGCTTCACTGCATTTCAGGTGAGAAAACTAACATTCTAAAAGATCACACAGCTAGCATTGATTTTTAACATATAAAGATTTTTAACATATAAAGACATGAGGCTTAGTATAGATATAAAAGCATCTTGAAAAAAAAATCTGTGTAAAGTAAAACTGGATATCTTTGGAACAAAACAGACCAAGTTTCTAATTTGATAATAGAAAAGAGAAATAATGTGGAGTTAAATAATAGACTTACTGTTTTGCCTAGAGCTGGTGTTACATGTATTCATGATCAAAACCATCAATTGTAAAGGGGAACCCTCCTACACTGCTGGTGGGA